ATCAGACAGAAAGGATCAGAGCCAAAAGAGACAACGAAGCCAAATTCCATAAGTACTTTAACCCGAGATGGACTGACAGGTTGAACAGATGGCAATATAATAAAGGCCACTTGCAGCCTAATGATGGGCAAGTTCATCTCTGTAGGCTAATTTGTCGGCCTATGTGTCTTAGACTCATAGGATAGAACGACGCACTAAATGCGTTAGTTTAATCAATTAAATACGTGTTGTACGACCAAATAAACAGTTTTCATGCTACAATTACTATAAATACTCTTATATTAGATCTGAAAAAGGGATGAAACAATAGACAACTCACTAAATAAATATTCTCGCAATACTAAGTCCAATATTCGAGCGAGCAATAACAACATTGTCAAACCTGGGCCACTACTATTATGTCACATTCTTGTATTGTTCTGCACTTCTATTCTATTCAATTCTTTCCATGACAAATATTCACATCTATCTTAACAAAATATCCTTAAATTCGGTTCAAAACGCTTTTAACTCGTTGATCAAATTTTTTTTATCAACACAATATAAAAGTGCATTTTTATCAAATATATTACTATTATAAATAAATAAATAATATTAGATAGTATTTTACATTATGTTATTATATTAGTTGTAGCCTAATAAATATGATATTTTGATAACAATATCATTATATAAAACATGTACAAAAGAATAACGCAATACATATAAATGTGGTCTAAGTCTTTCAAACAAAAATTTATTATTTGTGAATAGAGTAAGAAACAAATAAAACAATTGCAATGCAATGGGAAAAACCAAGAGTCTAAATTTTCTTAATGATATATGAATGCTAAATTTCATTTTTAGTACACTATGTTGGTCATTTTTTCGAAAAAGGTTCATCATATAGGGTGTCATAAAAAATAATCTACTAAGTTGTCACTTTAATCAAATCGCGTACATTTGCCAACATAGTGTACTAAAAATGGCAACTAAAAATGATCACTTTTAGTACACTATGTTGGTTTTTGTATGAATTATGATTAAAATGGCAACTTAGTGGACCATTCCTGATGACCTCCTATATGATGAACTTTTACTGGAAAATGGCCAACATAGTGGACCATTTTTGAAATTTTGCCGATATATGAATACCAGTATCTAGAAACAAAAGTCTTTTATAATTTTTGTTGCTAGCGTTTAAATATATGGACTCTGTAAGAAATTAGTTCTCATAAATAATGATCATATATTATCAATTTTTTATTTTAAATAATTAAAAAATTATAAACCTTGTAATACATAATGTAGATTTTAATATTGGCTTCGTAATAATAAAGTTAACAAATGAATAAGAGTATCATAATATAATAAAATTCTAATCTCCTCCTCTCAAATACTTTGGCAAATTATATGCTTCTCGATATTGTCTTATTGTTAAGTTTTGTTTTGTCATTGTTGAAGAATCACGAAATATCTTTATCTTGATTTTTTAAGCATCATGTATGATGCTAAAAGTTGGACAATAGAGCATAAAAAAAGTTAGTAGACACATAAATATTGCAAAAACGGACGATATGTGAAAGATATTATGATGAACAACTCTAATATCATTGCAATGAGTAGAATGGTCAATGATTTGCAAACAATAGATTATATAATTCGTCTATCTTCTAAATAATAACATTGAAAAGGGCATGTTGAAGCTTGATCAAAATATTTTTAAATATGTGAATGAAGTTGTCACTTTTGTAGAGGAATATTTACATTCTCAATGGTGTATTGTGCTCGAGCATATGTTCAATTACTTGAAGAACATACTTTAATGTAATGTGTGGTGATTCTAAAAAATAATTTAGCGTCTCGAGAGAAGTAGATGTAATCAAGATTTTGGAATTTCAATTTTATTTGGAGATAAAATTCGTTCCTACCCCATAGGGCGATGCCTCCATGAGGTATGTACCAATTTGTCTATTTTGAGAGAGTAGTATAGTTGTCTATATAATGATAAAAATAAATAAATAAATAAATAAAAAACTATCAACAATTTTACTATACGGTTGGTTATTTCACATATATATTCATGAACTGTTAATAGAAATATCTTATAACTATCATACAATAATGAAGTTTGACTATATGTTTGGCCAGAATATTTCTAAGTTTGAATAAAGTAGACGTTTTGTCAAATGAGTTAAGAAGAATTTTATAATACTGTTAATGTATTGAGCTCCAACGAGTATGAATGTTTTTTTTATGAGAACGTCAAAACCAAAATGTTAAAAAAGTACTCTTAAATCATCTAACATAAATAAATAAGAACTATCTATCATATGCATTAAGTTTTTATTTAGTTGTTTAATTTTTTTTTTTTCAGGACACATTTTTCATATTTCGTTATTGTGTTGTGATATATTATTTCATCTTTATATATAAGAACATCATTATATTATTTTCCAAAAAAAAATACATTAACAGTTCATTTGTTCTATATTTTACTTTGTTCCGTTAATTAATTTATTTCATTATACTTAATCGATCAAAAACATTCGCCACCATGTATATTGCACGAGCACTTTACGAATCATTTTTTTTTTACAGGATCCTTCCGGTTTCCGGATCTACAGGGGAACCGACTAATCCAGAATCGAGCCGGGTAGGACCACAAGGGCGTCAAAGCTCTCCCTCAATAGTTTTTTAACACTGTTGCATTTCCAGGGTTCGCCACTGGTTAAGCTGGAAGAGACCCAAATCATCTCATCCAAGCGATCTTGGTTACTTTACCAATCATTTTAAATAGGTATGGATAGACATTGACATTGAGCAAAACTATATGTAATGAACATTGTGAATTAATATGGGAATATATAGATTTGTTTGACAATAAGAAAAAACAACTAAAATGGATATAACGTTTCCATCAAAAGTCAACAGCTGAACACACCCGTTCTCATCTGACATCTCACCTAACCATTTGCAACAAACAACGCACCAAATCTCTTTTATGCTCAAAATCCGAACTCCGAAGCAAAACCACCAAACCTACAAACCAATGAACCTCTCATCACCGCCTATGGACACCACCGTCAAATCCCTTGTTTCGAAGCTCGCCTCCGTCTCCGAGCGAACCCGCACGGAGGCCCTCTGCGAGCTCCGCCTGCTCTCCAAAAACGACGCCGACAGCCGCCTCCTGATCGCCGACGCAGATGACGCCGTCCCTCTGATCGCCGAGTCCCTCTACTCCCCCGCCGCCGTTCTCCAGGAGAACGCCGCCGCGGCCCTGCTCAACATCTCGATCGCCGCCAAGGACCGCCTCATGTCCTCCCATGGCGTCCTCGACGCCCTCTCCCACGCCCTCCGCCACCCGGCCTCCCCCTCCGTCGCCCAGTGCGCCGCCGCCACCATCTTCAGCCTCCTGACCGTCGAGTCCTTCCGCCCCATCATCGGCCACAAGCGGGACATCATCTTCGGGCTGGTGGAAATCGTCCGGAGCCCGGGTTGCGCGGCCCAGTCCATCAAGGACGCCCTTCGAGCCCTGTTTGGCGTGTCTCTCTACCCTTTAAACCGGGCTCAGATGGTGGAACTCGGGGCCGTCCAGGCCCTGTTCTCCTTGGTGGTGAAGGATGGGCGAGTTGGGCTGGTGGAGGATGCCACGGCCGTCATAGCCCAACTAGCTGGCTGTGAGGATAGCTGGGAGGTGTTCAAACGGGCCTTGGGGGTTGAGGTCTTGATGGATATATTGGATAATGCAACTGGGTCGAGTAATCGGACTAAGGAGAATGCCGTTTCAGCTCTGCTTAATTTAGTGCAATTTGGAGGGGAAGTGGTTGCAAACGAAGTTAGAGGAAAAATGGAGGAAAGGGTTATGGATGGCATACTTGATGTGGTGGAGAATGGAAGTGAAAAGGGGAAGAGCAAGGGTTTGGCCCTCTTGACAGTACTCAACCAACGTTTGGAGACCTTATCGAGCCAATCTGAAATGTAATTGTGATGAAAAGAGATTGGACTGCCCACATTTCATAATGTGATTGTTATAGATTTCAAGACCGTATAGGCGAACAAACGATTGGTTAAATGTTGGTGCTAGACCAATAAAGATTTCGCTCGGTTTCGTATTGTCTTGCTAGAAGCTTTTGTGGCAGGCTATACTTGGTTAAGTTATGCTTGTGATTATCCACATTACTGTGGAGAAGCTGTAATTTCAAACCTTTTTGCAGGCAGATAAATTTAATGGATGATTCACATGATGGAAGATTGATTTCTCTACTGAATTGTCCTTGAAATGGAAATTGTCTCAGTTTGTGTTGAAGTTCAAGAAGCAGCAAACTGCTCAATGACACTGCCCCAAACTGCATCTGATTAACTTTTGTAATAGGATTCCAATTATGCTACCTCTGAAGAAGAATTTTGTTTCGATAATGTATTGAATGCATTAAGGTTTCATGGTGGTCTGTAGCTTGGATCTGGGCACGTTATTTTAAATTTTTCCTTGTGCAATTCATCAAGCTACATTCTGCATATTAGAGAAGAATGTCAAGAAAATAATCACTGTGTATCCTGTGCTTAGCACGTAACCAACACAGTACGTAGCACGTGTTAGTATAACTAGGATAAACCAACTCGATACATGGATTGCGATTATAAGCTAGCCATTGAATGTGCACTTCATCAATTTCAGAGTTAAAATGCATCAGTATATGGGAAAACTGCACAAGAAATAATAGCAAGCCATTGAATGTGCAGTGCACTTCATCAATTTCAGAGTTAAAACGCATCAGTATATGGGAAAATTGCACAAGAAATAATAGCAGTCTAAACCTACATTTCATTATCTAAACCCACAAGAAATACTTAGCACTGCCTGTGTTTGATATCTAATGCATGCATCCAACCAAAACGTGCGCCACATCACATCCATCCTTCCTTAATGCATACATCTGAAACTATGGAGTGGTTTGTGATACTAAGCTATCTTTTCATTTCATACCTCACCATTTCTCAGCCAAACTCATTTTTCAGAGTCATAACTTTCTCCGCAAAAGCAAAGCCAATAGATAAGACAAGGCTGAATCAACTGAGGAAAGTGCAACAATAAGCACAGCAACCAGAACAAGAGTCAATGTAGCAGTCTTCAGCTGCAATAAATACATGATGGACTAGCCTTAGATTACTAACTGCTTATATATATATATATATATAAGAAATAAAAAGAAAAGTGAAAATAATTTATCAGAACTTGAACTTGAAATGTAATGCAAATTGTCTTACATTTGAGTTGCTCTTACCGCTCATAAATTTAACTCTAACTACACTTGCATTCCCGATATAACGAGGTAAAAACCAGAAAACTTGTAACGTAATGCATGGAACAATTGTTTAACCGAAACAACATTAAACAATATAAAAAGTAGTATTTGGAATCGATAATAGGTTAAAAATAAATGAAACTAGATAAGTACATGAAATGACACACTTTGCACTCTGAAGAGGAAAAAGACCGTTTAATTGAAATGGTTCAGACAGGCTATAATGCATTTTTACAACTGACGACCTTACAAAAATCAACACCTGCCACTCACAGCCGTGTAAAAATTATTCTGATGGGTTCGAATCTTTCATTATGCTCAAAATCCCATAAGATCAAAATATATGCAATTTAAGGAATGTTATAGAAAGTTAATAAAGAAATATTTATCGAAGGTTCAGAAAAGTGAAGGAGAAGAACCTATTTACCAATGAATGGAATCAAATCTGAAAAGGAATTCTTGAAGAATAAAGGCCAAGGGCACTGTACGCGAAGGATTATCTTTTACTTTAGCGGCATCAATGTGTGCATTTTTGTGTATAATGATTATGGAAGCATAATGAAATTAATCCTGTTTACAATTTAATCGTAGGGATAGATGGATGCACGGAGTGAGTTCTTGAAAGTGTAGAAGTCCAGAAGATTTGATGGCTTCAAAAAGGAATAACAAATAGATATAATGAGGAGCTTATCAAAATTTGAAATATCAAATTCATGCAGGAATCGAACTTGCCATTTTTAGGATGTGGAATATCATTCTGAGAGGGAAAAAATTGCAGATGGACAAACAATACAAAAGCAGAAAGCAACATGTTCATAAGTACTTGTTCTCCTAGTATTATGGCGAAGAATCCAGAAGCACTAAGCCACTAACCGTGCTCCCAAAGCTTGGCCATTCAATATACTTTAGCTGGCTCGGCTGTTCAGCTAGAAAGAGAAATAAACTCCTAAGGGTCCTGCAGAAAAAGCAAAAGAATCAGTTAAGCCTGCACTTATGGGCCATTACAGAATGCATCAGTAAATTCCATTAAATTTCGATACTCACATTCTACTTTAAATCAACATACCTGATGACATCTCCAATGAAGTTTAACCAGGAAGGCTCTGTGTGAGCATTGTTATTGTAGTCCAGCGGATAGTTTCTTCCTGATGAGAAAATGTGTGTGGTGCATGGAAACCGATGATGGAAATACAGATTCGAGAGATTTGTAAACTGAAAATGCATAAAAGAGAACAAATTACATGGGAGCACATCAAATTTCAATTTTGCAAACGAGAAAAGATAGTTCACTGCTCACATTTTTCGAAAACAATGCTATTCTACTGTGTGATTTACTGAATCTGCAAGAGTCGTGATTATGAATCTGGAAAGCCAACTTCGTGCGACCTGTAGCATCATTTGGGGGACTTTTGATACCTACAACATAAAGCCAATTGCGACCACGGCAAGTTCCAACTCACTAATAGTAAGTGTCCGAATTCGTATGCTGGACAGCGTAAGCAATGTTAGTACCTGAAAATTTCAAGATTGAGCCAGAAACGGCTGCCATGTATGCGTGCGATAGAGAGAAATGAAGGGGTTTCCTGTAAGAACCTCGGTTCAGTTGTGCGGACGACTAATCTCGGGGATAACGTGCCGGTTGCGTGCGGCGGAGCTTCGCCGGTGAAACAGTAGAAACGAAAACCTAAAGTGGGAACGGGGGAGAGTAGAGTTGGGAACAAAATGCAGTAAAAATAAAATAAACAAGGTTCAACAGAGGGGAACGCGGGGATTTTAGAAGGGGAAGAGAGGAAATGGAAGAAGATTGTAAAATAATTTCATTGTTTGGAAGGCATTTTTAGAACAACATTTTGGAGGTCGATGATGTACCAGGTCTATGGTGACCGTTGATGAAGGAACACACCCTATAGGTCAAGGTAGGAACTTTGGATGACCTGCTAGAAACTCGACTTGGGGATCTGGATGGCACTATAGAAGCTTAGCATAGAGGACACTCTACCTCGAGGTAAATCGGGTTGGTCATTTGATTAGACCGTGTCTAATAGGGTTGACTAATGGATAATAAGAATATTATAAGGATAAAAATCACACGTGGATAGAGACATGCAGCATAACAGAACCAGACAATTCGGGCATTCGAGCAGTCCATACGGGCATGCATGGGCAACAAGATACTACCTCTATATAAAGGAGTGAAGTATGACAATCCAAACTCTACATTATCTGCACACACTAAATACTTATTGAGCTTTATATCTATTGTTCATCATCTTCTCATTGTGGACTGACTTAATCATCAGAGTGCTAACGCTGAGAATCTCTCCCAGCCCTTGCAGGTGTACGACCAAGTCAGCAAGCAGATCCGGTCGTGCAAGCCAGATCAAGATCGGTGCACACCAGTTATAGCATAATTTGAGTTAGTTTATCTTAACTAATGAATTATACTAGTCCACTTTGTGTGTATCGAACGAACCCCGGAGGAGAAGTTTATTTTAGTAAATAATCTAGGCCTCATAATATGGCTCATACTCTCAATCCGTTTAATAATTATGGGCACGTGTGATTAATAATTGTTCTTTGATTCATCAAAGGCTGAGACTTATTCCTTTACGTCAATAACTCGATGAGTTGAGAATTATTAATCATATGGTGTGTTGTTGATTATACTCGGTGATTGTGCACTTGTGCGTTAGGTTGATGACGTCCCTGGAATGACCTCATAATATTTATTTTGTCAAGCCCTACAGGCGGATTTAAGGCATAATAATAAGTATCGAGTGGTACTAGTCTCACAACATCAAGAATTTAATTATGTATATTGTCAGTAATTAAAATTAATTGAATGAGATTATATCTTTGGCATGGGGAGATGGTGGAGCCCATATAATTGGTGCGAAGGGAAGGAAGTGCAATAACAAATATTTAGTAAAATTACTTATTATTAATGGCCTAAGAAATAGGATGGACTACATTTCATGTATTTCTTGGTCCATTGAGAGTCCTAACCCTAACCTCGTTAGGTCAGGTCTCTGTTGTAGCCTAATAAGCACTTGTAGTCCATCCTAACCCAATGCCATACTTCAGCACTTAAAAGTATATTGATTCTATACTAATATTTTTTATTAAAAACCTAATAATTACAAAAGACTGATGCGTGATTTTTGCAATTTGACATAGATAATAGAACATAAAGAATTATGCACAATCATCATTCAAAAACGCAGTCAACATTAATATCCATGATTCTTTAGACGGTCAAATGACATGGAAGCAATATTTGAAACGGCCAAATGACAATATCTATATCTATATTTATATATAATTGTTAGCATTTTTTTTTTAAATTTTATCTAATAAATAAAACTTAATAAATTTTAATTAGGTAAATTAAAATTGAGTAATATTAAATTTGGCATTAATCCACCCTATCTCATTAATGATAAAATATTTAATTATATTTTTTTGGGTGAATTAAAACGAAAACCGATATATTTTGTATTTAATTGAGTAATAATCATGTTTTTTATTAAGTCGTATAATAGTTATTATTAATTTATAATTATATTTTACACTAAATGATATATGAAAGCTATATATAAAAGATTATATTGTAAAATTTTTTGTTCAAGTTATTTATTCTAAAAACAATATTATATTTTTATCTTATTACGTGATTATTTTTTAAATAAATTATTTTTTTTAATGTCATAGTAAAATTTCTTAAAAAACACTCCCGAGAATTCTTCGGGATCTGCAACTCAATAAAAAAGAAATTCCGAATCATGAGCACAATAAAGAGCAGCCAAGATATGAGGGAAATCTTGATTTAATTTGAAAAAGCAAATGACAAGTCTAAGGTAAGAAACCTTGGAAATCTTAATGCCATAATGCCTTTCAAATCCTCCTAGCCAGACGACGTACATTTTCGTAGTTGCCCCTATTTATTCCCTCCCCCCACCTTACTTCTCTCCCTTGCCCACCAGCTCGACCCCTCATGACCTTCCCTTCCACTTCCCCCTCATCCCCCGCTAGCGGGTCTGATCCGTCTTCCCCACAGGGACAGGCGCAGAGCCCCGAGGGATTGGAGCACCTACAGCTCATCCTCTTACCCCATGAGTTTCCCCATATACGAGGGCGACCTTTCCAGGAGATCCCAGAGCACCGGAGACGGAGAGATTTCTAAAAGAGTCTGATTTCTCTCTACCAAGGAACATAATGACCTATGCCAATTTTCAATTTTCTCCAACTTAGACATTCAAAATCTTTATTGGGTTTGTGTATAGTGTACCGCATTATGAGTTGTATAGCTAGTTCCCTTTCCTGACCAATCAATACTTAGTGAACTCAGCTTATCTGCCTTTGGTGTTGATTTGTATGTTGTATTTAGCCTACCATGTATGGTACTGCTCTTTTCCCCTCTCAACTCTCAGCACGAGCCCCCAGCCCTAAGTCCGGCTTCCAGCAGCTTTCTGCCCGCGTGGGCCCGCGCCCAGCCTGCGTGTGGCCCGCGCCCAGATCCTGCTGCCTCAACTCAGCCCAACAGCGGATTTCAACCTCTCCACCTGGAGAAAACGGGGGAGCTGGTAGTCTATTCTCTTCCGGCGGCAAAGGCAGCGCAACCACTCTAGGTCCTGCCCCTATCGGCCATCCGGACGACGTCTGTTGCGGCGGCGACGGCGGGGCAGGGCGCTAGATCATCCCAGGAGTTCCCTATTATTGAGATTATCGACCTCGGCTCTAAAATAATATTTATGTTTTATACTCAATTTCTCAAAATGATAGCTTTTTTTAACCACACACATATTCATGAAAGCACCAATGATGAAGGATCGTGTGTTCCCCTCAACTCGTTTGCCTCGAACAAATCTTCGCCATTGTGTGGTTGTTTTATTTCTTGTGTGCAGGGCATTTGACCGAAGAGCTCAATGAATTCATGATGATACTGGGTATGTTGATGTTGATGATGATAGTAAAATTTCTTAAAATTGCCTAATCAATTGTTATAGTAAACTTGATATTTTTCAGCTAATCAATTAGACATGATCCCTCAAAATTACAATTATTACATCATTTATTAAGTTTCAGGCAATCAATATAGTGATTCTATGCAATCGGATCATTATGTACTATTTATTTTAACAAATGATCAAATTTTAAACATAATACTATTATCTGAATTATAATTTAATTTAAATTTTCTATGCTTAAATATAACTTATAATATTTTATGTTTAAAATATAATACTATTATCTAACTTATAATTTAAATATTATATGCATATAAATAAGTTATAGTATTTATTTACATCTGTGCAAATGCACATGGTCAATACTAGTTCCATTATAATTTTGCATGCATAAACAGTGCGAAAAGGGGAGAGAGAGAGAGAGAGAGAGAGAGAGAGAGAGAGAGAGAGAGATAGAGAGAGAGAGAGAGGGGAAAAGAGTGAGTTCCAAGCCACATGTGTTTGGTGTATTGTCGCCCACACGACGTCTGACCGAGGCTAAGATTACAATAAAAGTTCATAGGTGTTGGGCGATTGTTTAGTATAAATTTGACGGGCAAGGGATAACCGAGTTACCCGACTCGGGTCGATCTCGAAGGAAGGCTATTCGGAGTTTTATCTACTAAATGATCATCCAAATCACAAAAAGAGAAAATAAAATCCTAAACATTCTAAGCAATTGATTGGATGGTTGATTAACACTAATCGAGCACTTAAAAACGAGCAATTAATTAAAAGCAAGATCAAATGACGAGCAATTA